AGCTTCAATTTAGACCTAGAAAATAAAAAGGAACTCTACTGACGAGCAATTTTAATGGCAAACTATGAATGAAAAGGGGATAAAAAAAACTGTACTGACGAGCAAATTAAATATCGATCTAAAAAAGAGAATTTTTGCTTACTATAAACTAGAAGATGAGAAAGTGACACTACTGACGAGCAAATTGACTATCAATCTAAAAAAGGGCTTTTTCATTATTAACATGGAAGATGAGAAAAGAGACTCTACTGACAAGCAAACTTTAATTTCGATATAAAAAATGAAGAAACTTTGCTGATTTGCAAACTTTAGTTTTAACCTGAAAAGACAAAAAAGGACTCTACTAACGAGCAAATTAAGTTAAAAACTTAAAAATAAAAGAAAGTTATAAAATAAAAAAGTAATCTACTGACGAGCAAACTTTAATTTAATTTAATATAATTTGGATCTAGAAGATGGAACTCTAGAAGATGGATAGAAAAGGAACTCTACTGACAAGTAGAGTAAATATGATATGAATGAAAAAAGAGACTCTACCGACAAGCAAACTATAATATTTATCTAGTTTATAAAAAGGGACTCTACTGACAAGCAAACATCAATTTTTGCCTGGAAGATGAAAAAGAGACTCTACTGACAAATAAACTTTAATTTTTATCTAGAGATGGAAAAAGAGACTCTACAGACGAGCAAACTTTAATTTTTATTTATCATAGAAACTGGAAGAAAGAACTCTACTGACAAGTAAATCTGATATAAATAAGAAAAGGAACACTACCGACGAGCAAATCATAGTGAAATTTGTTAAAAAGGACTCTGCTGACAAGCAAACTTTAACTCTGATCTAGACTATGAAAAATGGACTCTACTGACGAGCAAACTTTACTTTTGATAGAGAAGATGAGAAAAGGGAATCTACCAACAAACAAACTTTAATATTTATCTAGTTTATGAAAAAGACGAGCAATTTTTAATTTCCATTTAAAAAATAAAACAGAGACTCTACCGATTAGCAAATTTAATCTTGATCTAAGAAATGAAAAAAGAAAATTTACCAATAAATAAGTAAATAAAACTGTAAACTAGAAGTAAAAAACTTTACCAGCCAGCAAATTTGGATCATGATCTATACTTACAATTAGACAATCAGAAAAGGGACTTTACTGACAACCAAATTAAAGAGCATAAAAAAGACTGACGAGTGAACTTTTTTTTTTTTTTTTTTTTTTTTTTTTTTTTTTTTTTTTAAGATAATATTATTAATTTATTTACATATATACATTATTTTCATATCTCAGTCAGACAGAGGTGCCTGGTATAAGAGATTATGAAAAACAGTTTAATCTGAGAGATGGAAAAAAGGGATTCTACCGACAACAAAACTCTATTGGCCAACAAATTATGATCATAATCTAGACTTAGACGATCAGAAAATGGACTTTACTGACTACCAAATTAAATGGCATAAAAAAGACATTCTACTAAGACGCAAGCTTTGATAATGACCTAGAAAATGAAAAAAAAAACTCTACTGACGAGCAAATTGAATAAAAATCTATAATATAAATCAAAATTTTTTGAATCAGCACATCACTATTATAAGCTTATTAATATTTATCCAAATTTAGCATTTGTATAAATTCTTTTGGATGTACGATTTGGAAATTATAATTTATGGCAAGGATACGTTATGAAGAACTTTCTATACTAAATTTGACAAAGGGCATGCGGTTGCCGTGCAGTCAGGTGTATATCTTAGGTTGTCAGAAGGAAAACCTAAACAAAAAAACCACACAAATGTCAAAAAACGACGTTAGATATCAGGGTTTTGCTGACCCAGCTTCATAACATACGAGTGACGTTGCAGTTTATGTGCAAAACACCTGAATACACAGCAAATAAATGGACATTTTAATAGTATTCAGTATGATTCAGTAGCATAATGTATGGAAGTTGGAGCGTAATGTTCACGCCAAAATCAAAGCATGTCATATATTGATATAAAAAACAAAGATATCAAATCAAAAATCAACACAAAATTAAATCAATCAAAACACTACACAACATCAATCAAACTATAAAAATATTGTAAATACAAATACAATTTGCAGTTAATTTAAAATAAATACATAATATTACAACTAAAGTGTTTTACTACAAATTGGTCCTTCAAAAATCAAAACGAACAAACAAGGGTGTTTCTGACCCAGCTTCAAAACATACGAGTGACATTGCAGTTTCTGTGTAAACTGCCTGAATGAACAGCAATAACATGATGTTTTGACAGTATTCAGTATATCAATCATTAATAGTGCTACATAATAGGTTGTCAAATATCTCCCTTCCGCCTTTTTGTATTATAAACCAAGAGCAAAAAAGCGGAAGGGAGATATTTGACAACCTAATATTTAATCGCAGTACTATAAATAGTACATCAGTTTATAACATAATTTCACACTTACCCTCTTTGATAAGCTATCAGGCCCAGTCGAATGCCTCTTATTACTATACAGATCTTCATCCGTACAAAACAGTCCTCCCAAGGCGTCGTCTCCAAATTGTGGCGGCGTATCCCCCGATCCTCCTGCTCCGTTCGCCCCTAAAGCCTGGAGGCACTGGAACGGAGGCAGTGGCGTCCACGGCGACTGATCCGGGGGCGAAACTCCCGTCGCAGCGGAGCAGTGCAAAGCAGAGGCTGCTCCACCTCGTTCTCGCACCGAAGGCAGAGGAGAGTAGCTCGTTTGGGAAAGGCGGCGGTTCGATATATTGTGAGTCGCTAAACCTGCAGAGCGAAAAAAATTGATTATCTATATATATATAGATAATCAATCAAGCCTGATACTAAATTTTAGTATCAGGCTCATCCTTACACTCCTTCAACCAATTCTTTACGAACATTAAATCCCCCACCCCATCCAATCTCAATACTAATGTAGTATATTCTGTTTCTTGTAATGACTGTGCTTTTCAATATATTGGACAAACCTCCCAATATGTACACAAGAGAATGAGACAACATGAACTAAGTGTGGTCCACCATAAACAAAAAAATTTCAAAAGTACCCTAGTACAACACTCTATAGAAACGCCCATTCATTTAATTTCACTCCAAAGATTTTATATCACGAAAGTTGCATCTTTAGAAGGTTATTCGCGGAGAGTTGTCTCATCCTCATAAACGTTTCTAACAGTGTCAACATTAGATCAGATCACAACCTATTACATGATTCATATTTAAATTTTTTACACTTTTTGACAAACAATTAATATCGACTTCCTTTTAAGATCAACAATTTAAGTATTCACACCCTGACATATAAAAACACACACATACAATCTCACATCTCTCGTTCAAGTGTTTACACGTGTTACAAAGGGCACACCAGTTTCATTTAGTTAATTTTCGTAAACCAATCGAACAACATCCAGAGAACAATATTATTTGTGTTTTCAAATAATAATTTTAAAAAAGACAAGTTTTTTAGTAATTTTGATTTACAAAATCTAATTATTCGGCGGAAAATTAACTCACAAAATCATTTTTGTTAAAAAAGCTTGTTTAGTGAAAAAGTGCTAACAAATATTCAAACATACAGGTAATTAATTCAACTTTGTCATTAACCTTTTCTTAAAAAATTTCCATAACTTTCAAAAAAATTTTCTATTATGTTTAATATCCTGTTCTGATAATCCACTCATTTATTTTTATCATTTTTATTTTGAACATATTATCATATTTCTGTACATTATTATATTTTTTACAATTTAATTCATTATTTAAGAAAAATCTATTTTCTTTTCCTAAACATATTGTTTGCTAAAATCTCATCAAGATCATGTTTCTTGACAGATGTCCTGAAGATGGAACGTACCTAGTTTCCGAAACGTCGACAATAAACAAATAATTAAATAAAGAAATTGTTTTTTTTAAAAACTTTTCTTGTTTTTTATTTTGTATTATTTTTGGATTCTTGTTCGAAACTCTACAAAATATACACAAATCCAAGACTCTACCATATAATATATATATATATATATATATATATATATATATATATATAAACTAGTTGGTTTGGTATTTAGCCTTGAGGCAAGTTACATGAACTTCCCGATATGTGTAAATAATCGACTTAATCAATAAAAAATAAATTAATTTATGAGTCATTAAAAGTATTCCGAGTGGATTTATTACACATCATTGCAAACGAAAGAACACGTTAACTCGGAGTATTTTCTAAAAGCAAATTTTCAAAAATCAATAAGTTTAGTTAATCAATAATTATAATTGAACCAGTTTCGGTAGGACCTTTAATGGTTTACTATATTCAAGACCAAGTACACTATCGTTATACCAACTAAATCGTCTAATTTTATTTTTAACAAACGTCAAAAAATTTACTCATTTTCTCAAACTTTGATGATTTTTTAAAATTAAACTACTTCTCGTAAGGCAGTAATAATTCAGTAAGTTCTATAAGACCGTGATATATATCGCTAAAAAAAGTTTCATAAAAATCGGCCTAAATTTTTTTTTCAACAGTTAAGTACAAGAAAACGGCTCGATAGATTTTCTCATAAAACTAATCAGTATAATTCCCAACTAATATCTTTCGAATAGTTTTTGATTTTTTAAAATCGGCTCGGTAGTTTGAGCCCAAATGTGGACGAAGAGTTTAAAACTTTTTTTCAAATTACAAAGAAACGGCTCGGCCGATCGTCGCACGAAACTGAGAAACGATAATCCTCATCGAGATACATCAATTGGTTTTGAAATGTCTGAAATCGGTTCAGGCGTTTTTGAGAAAACGTCGATGAAAGGTCTAATTTTGACAAATGCCAAAAAAACGATACCAATTTTTGCAAACTTTGACGAATTTTTAAAGCTAAACCAGTCGTTGTAGGGCCGTAATATTTTAGTATGATCTAGAAGACTATGGCATCTACCGTCAAAAAAATAATAATAAAAATCGTCAATTTTTTTTTTTAACTTTATTACAAGAAAACGGCCCGGCCGGTCTCTACCAGAAACTAATCAGCACGATTCCCAATCAATATCTATCAAACGATTTTTGAATTTTCAAAATCGATTCAGAATTGCGGGCTAAAACGTGGACGAAAATTTTTTCACTTTTCTGCTATTTATAAAGAAACGGCTTGGCCGATTGTCGCACAAACAATAGTCCTCATCGAGATACATCGAGTGGCTTTTAAATTTTTGAAAGCGGTCCAGCCGTTTTCGAGAAAACGTCGATTTACGGCAAAAAATCTGTTCACATACACGCACACACACACATACTTTTTCCAAATTTGGTATCATTTGGCATTTGTCAAAATTAGACCTTTCATCGACGTTTTCTCAAAAACGCCTGAACCGATTTCAGAAATTTAAAAACCATTTGATGTACTTCGGTGAGGACTATCGTTTGTCAATTTTGTGCGACAATCTGCCAAGCCGTTTCTTTGAAATTTGAAAAAAAGTGTTAAACTTTGCGTCCACATTTAAGCTCATCCTACCGAGAACCGATTTTAAAAAATCAAAAACTGTTCAAAAGGTATTAGTTGGGAATGATACTGATTAATTTTAGGTGAAAATCTACGAGCCGTTTTCTTGCAATTAACTGTTGAAAAAAAAATTTAAACCGATTTTTATGGATTTTTTTTAGCGATATATATCATGGTCTTATAGAACTTACTGTAATATTACGGCCTTACGACATATAGTTTAAATTTAAAAATTCATCAAAGTTTGAGAAAATGAGTAGTTTTTTTGACGTTTGTTAAAATTAAAATTAGACGATTCACTTGGTATAACGATAGAATACTTGGTCTTAATAAAAGTAATAAATCATTAAAGTCCTACGGAAGCTGGTTCAATTAAAAAAATATTGATTTTTGAAAATTTGCTTTTAGAAAATACTCCGATTAACATGTTTGTTCGTTTTCAATTATGTGTAATAAATCCACTCGGAATGCATTTAATCACTCATAAATTAATTTATATTTTATTGATTAAGTCGATTATTTACACATATCAGGAAGTTCATGTAACTTGCCTCAAGGCTAAATACGAAACCAACTAGTTTTTTTTCCTAAAATAAAAATTGAAAAAACAAATTTACATTGAAAAATGTATCATACTCACATATTAGGAAAAGTCATGAAGTTTGATGACGATTCAATTACGTTTGATATGAAAAATACTAATCGAAAAATCAAAAACGGTCATTTGACCGGTCCCGGTAGGAATAGTGTTAAGTAAAATTATTAATATTATATTAATAGTTAATAAGTGAAATTATTCTATTTTATTAAATCCTACCAGTGTTTGCAGCCGACGCCAGTTCCAGCAAAAACATCGCGTTTTGTTTTATCATCTCGTGCAATTCTGTTCCGGAGCAGACGACTGGTGACAGGGCGTGTCGGGCATACAGTTTGCGATCGGCCATTTGGAGATCAGCACCTGGGATAATGGAATTTTGAATTAAAAAAATACGAATCACAGAATTATTTTTTATAAGTTTAGTAATAATCTTACTGTTGTTGTCGGTGGTTCTTGTTTTGTATGCAGGATGCAACATGTCTGTTCCAGATGCATTTGTGTTGGATGTCGATTCTGGTAAAGAGGCGATGTAGAGGTATCGTTCGCGACAGGAATCGCACAGGAGGTACCAGGAACTACCTTCTGCAAAAAATACATAAATAGATTAATATTGTTTTGTTTATATTTCTAGTTTTGCAAAATTTTGGATATTGCCTAATGCTGCAAAAACACAGTGTTGTATTATTACTGGGTGTATCTGCATTCGCGTTTTTATTATAATTGCCATTTATTTTTAGCTTTTTGTATTAGTGTCATTAAAAACTGTCTCTATATACTATATGGGGTACGATTTATTTCTTGGGCTAATACAACCCGTAGGGTAAGTTATTGCAATGATCTAAAAATCGAAATTGAAAACTTTTGCATTTCTTTACGATTTGAATGGATAAAAAAACATTCGATTCATAAATAGATTAATATGGTTTACATTTCTAGTTTTGCAAAATTTTGGACGATGTCTAATGTAGCAAGAATTCAGAGTTGTATTATTATTAGCTTAATCTGGCGATCGCGTAAAATCCAGCAGTTTTTTTTAACATTTTTTTTTAATTACCATTTAATTCCATTTTTTTGTATTGACTTCATTGAAAATTTTTATTATATAGAATATTTGGTGTACTAATATGCAAGTATAATATACTAACTAATATACGAGTATAATATACAAGTGGGCGGCTAATCAACACTTTTCTCATTTGACGTTTTTTAAATCATAACTAATGTACATTTAAGAACAGAAAAATGCAACACATAGATATTATTTTAGGAATAAAAAACATCTATCAATTTTAATGTAAATCTGAATACTGAATAAAAATGTACCTAAAAATTGAATTACATAAAGTTGAGAAAACATATTGTGAAGATAAAATGCAAAAAGGAATTTGCTCGTCAGTGGAGTTCTTTTTTCTTTTAAATATGCCAGAATTTGCTTGTCAGTAGATTTCTTTTTTCTTTTAAATGTCAGAATTTACTCGCCTGTAAAATTCTTTTTTTATAGAAAATGCCAGCAAAGTTCTTTTCTTTAGAAACGTTTGAACTTGTTCGTTAGTAGAGTTCCTTTTAAATATAAAAATCTGAATTTGCTCGCCTGTAAGCTTATTTATTTAAAAAAAATATACGTCTGAATTTGCTCGTCAGTGGAATTCCTTTTTATAATGAAAAGTGTCTGAATTTTATGTTTAGTACAATTTTTTTTAAAAAAGTCTGACTTTGCATGTCAGTTGACTTGTTTTTTTTTTTTCAAAAAATGCCTCAATTTGCTCGTTAGTAGAGTTCCTTTTTTATAATGAAAATGTCTAAATTTTCTGTTCTGTTAGAGTTCTTTTTTTCTATAAAATGCCTGATGTCTGACTCTTTAGTAGGGTTCTTTTTCCTCTAAAATGTCTGAATTTGCTCGCCTGTAGAATTGTTTTTTTTTTCCAAAAATGTATAAATTTTTTGTTCTGTTAGAGTTCTTTTTTTCTATAAAATGCCTGATTTTTGCTCTTTAGTAGGGTTCTTTTTCTTCTGAAACGTCTGAATTTGCTAGCCTGTAGAATTGTTTTTTTTTTTCTAAAAATGTCTAAATTTGCTTGTCAGTATAGCCCCTTTTTCTCTAAAAATGTCTGACTCTACTGACCTTGCTCGTCAGTAGAGTTTTTTTTTCTTTTTTTTCAATGCCAGAATTTGCTCGTCAGTAGAGTTCTTTTTTTATAATAAAGACGTCTGAATTTGCTGTTTAGTAAAGTTTTTTCCTATAAATGCCTGAATTTGCTTTTCAGTAAAATTCTTTTTACTCTAAAAATGTCTGAATTTACTTTTCAGTATAGTTCCTTTTTATATTCTAGATCAAAATTAAAGTTTACTCATCAGTAGAGTCCCTTTTCTATCTGCAAGGTCAAATTTGAAGCTTGCTTATCAGTTGACGATTATCCGAAACAAACACATAGGCAGACCAGAAATTAAATACTTTGGATCCATTTTCTTTAAAAAAATACATACAATTATTTTTTCGAAATAATGCCAACTTATTTTACGTGGAATCCGTCAACATGAAAATTTTACCGCCGTAAACAAAGAAAATGCAGTATGAATCTGTTAGAAATCGATGCTGATTGAGATATTTTACTCGCTGATGCTTCTAGTTAAAGTCAAAGATGTAGAGTATACTTATAAATCTTAAACCTTAACTTATGAATCTTATTTTAAGTAAGACTTTTAACCAAGTATTTTGCTACACTTTTACTGTTTTTTTACTTTTAAGTAACAATTATAAATTAAGAAACATTTGTGTTCAATATTCGGATCTATGATCAATTATTTATAGATTGTTCTATTTTGTTAGTAACGTTAATAGTTGGTTTTTCATAAAATAAATATTTAAGGTTAAATTTTTCATTTTTAAAAGTGCATCCATTAGTAAAATGAGAAAAAAATCAAATGAGAAAGATCAAAAGTGTTGTGTTACCCCAAGAATTTTTTTCAATAGAACTTGGAAAGAATTGTCTATGGTAACACCATTATTTTATAAACATAAAAATATAAACGTATAAAGTTTACACTAGGCAACACTGCTGCTGCAGCGATATTTTAGTAGCAGCAGTAACTATTATTCAATATAGATTTGTAAGTCGATAAAACCTTTTATCTTATATATAAAAATGGATCGCAAAATGTGTTGGTAAGCGCATAACTCAACAACGCCTGGACCAATTTGGCCAATTCTTTTTTTAAAATGTTCGTTTAAGATCAAGCATAGTTCTTACGGAGAGAAAAAATCGAATAATTGCCGGGAAACCCCTAAAAACAGCCCTTTTCTTTTTCACATACAAACTTTAGTATTTTCATATTTTTGCCATCAGATACGGAATATTTACTCAAGTCAATGGAGCTTTTTGGGCCTGAATTTTTTACTGTGCTCCAATATGTATGAAATTTTTAAATTAGGTTTATCTTACTCTCAAGTTCAAAAGTGAAAATAGTTTAGACTCCTTTGCCATTTCTCGGGGGAATGACATTTCTCTCAGTGGTATAATTTCATTTTTTTTTTTCAAAATAACGTCGGATATCGATAAAAGAACTAATTAAAAGAAAAAAATGTTTCATAATGTTTTTCAAAAAAGCACATACTCATCATTTTATTTAAAGCAGTGGTACATTTAAGATCCATATGGGTGGATGTATATACATTTCGGTATAGACTGTAATGTAAAAAAAACATAATAATTTTTAACAATTGGCAAATATCAGTATAGGTTATTAAAAAAATGGAACTTTTGAATTGTAGGCATGGTTACAGGACAACGTCTGTCGGTTCATCTAGTTAGTAATAAATCTATATCGTGATTTCCGTACAACGCTACAGTTTATTCAGCAAATTAAATTAAATTGAATTAAAATAGTGTTTAATTTACTAAACAAGTTCTAAAAGACATTGAATTTCTTGAAACACAGTTCCAGAACTAATACAAAAAAACTGAAAAAAACTGAAAATGAGTAGCAATTATAGTAAAAATAATAAAACTTCTTTCTTAAATTCGTCACGGAAATAGCAAGTACACCTAGTATAACATAAATTCCATATTATACAAAAAAATCATTTTTCAAAAATCATATCCTTTATTCTACCTGTACCCCCGTCTCCGCAATTGCCTGCCCATCCTCTGCAATAGTGTCCTGCCGAATTGTAACCGCGTCCATCCGCCGGCCTGGTGCAGCCGGGATGTTCGGCTCGCATGTGCCTGGTTATCGTCATTCCTGGTGCAAGCAGGGCCTCCGATTTAGGAGGACACAGCTCGCAAGTCGGCTTGGGGAAACCGGTGCGGAAGTCGACTGTTGCGTCATCTGGAAAAGAAACCAGGAGTAAATGAAACGTTATCACAACAGCCAAAATTAGCAGCGTTTTTGTTTTGACGTTTGTTAAAATTAGATATTTTGCTTGGTATGGCGATATAGTACCTGGTTTTAATAAATTTACTAAACAGTTATAATCATACAGAAACTAGTCCAATTATAAAAAAATATTGAATTTTCAACATTAGCTTTTAGAAAATACTTCGCATTGTATTGAACAAGTGTTGGATTTTCAAAAATGTGCAATGAATCCATTCGCAATACTTATAAATCACTCATTATTATTGTTTAAGTCGATTAGTTAGAAGATTTCTATTATCTTACCTATTGGTGATGTCTTCTTAAAGAACTTCCTCAGTTTGGCGCTTTTTCCTGAGGTGGATTTCATCTCCTTGGCCAACCTGGCGCGTTCGTTGTTAAACCGATTAGAATCCTTAGCTGCTGCTGCAGCAGAACTGTTATTGCTAGAATTATTGTATCCGCTGTTGACGTAAGACGCCTGCGCCTTTTTGGGTATTCGGAGGCGACATGGAAGGCATTGCAGGTCTAGGAATAATAAAAATAAATAGTTTATATAAATAAGAGAAATAAATTCTCTAAGTGTGCTACCTTAGGTATTTAAAAAAGTTTATAAAGTTTTCTTGAAAAAAAAATCACAAAATTCATGTATTTCTTTCTGAAACTGGTTTTAAAATAGATGAGATAGTTTGACGCAAATAGATTTGATTAAGCTTTGAATTTAAATTAGCAGTAGAAGATAGATCTTTTTAGCCCCGTTTACTTAACACTTTGCCGACCGATAGGGAAGATCTCCCCTAATTTAATCTGGAGTTGTTTACAATTACTAACGACTGTTTCTAAAAACATATATAATAAAATACACTAATTTTTGAAACATGTTTTCAACGATACCACACTCTAAAACAATATTAGAATACATTTTTTCATGTATTAAATCGTATTATATGCCTTCAGTCTTCATTTTTCGATTTTATTATCTAAACCTTTTGAACAACCTCCAAAAAATAATTGATATAAACTTTTGATTTCATGTTTTAGTTAAATAATATGTGAAATCGTTAAACAAAATTGTTACCGTAATAATTGATCATAAAAATAATTTTTGGACTTTTTTATTTTAAATAGTGAAATTCAGTCGGTGGAAACTGCACAGGTCGGTAAAGTGTTAAAATATTCTAGATAAATTTCAACATTTCAAAAATTTCTCGAATTATATCGATTAGGAATCGATCTTTAATATACTTTTTTAGTGACCAAAATTGCTATTTGTAATTTTCAATTCATTTCCAAAATCGTGGTAAAGTTTAAAATTTTTAACTTAACATCTGCCCACATAAGTAGAAATCGAATGTTTTTTATTTATTCAACTCGATTGAGCGGTGCTCCCGGAAACGTCGACGAAAAATTGTATCCATACATACTCATTAAGGTGATCCTTAATATTGCTCCCAGAGGCTCAAATGCTTTCCAATTGATTCAAAAATATTTTCTGAAAGTTTTAGCTCTTGATATTAACTTTAAGATAGTCCGCACTTCAACCAAAGTTTCTATATAAATAACATGGGTAAAATTTCATTTCATTTATAACTTAGCGACAAGTGAATGAAAGTTTTGAGAATAACATTATATTTCCTTATTTTGATCATAAATCAAAATATTACAACAAAAATTTGATATATTTCATTATATAAGTATTTACTTAGGAAGAAGAACCTAGAAACTTTGGTTGAATTGTGGACTATCTTAAAGTTAATATTAAGAGCTAAAACTTTCAGAGATTTTTTTTGAGCAAGAAAATTCGAAAACATCCATATTAAGGACCATCCTAATACACATATACTATACACATACATACATTTTTTCTAAGGTATGCCAAAATGTTCAAAAACCTCTAAACCGTGAAGATGCAAAACATTTCATTTTCGATTTTCGGCCCATTACTATAACTTACTCTAAGGAAATTTAAAAAGAAATTAGAAAGTCAGAACTGTATGATGGTTTGGCAAAACATTCCAACAAACTCCAATAATTTTTGCCAAGTGGGCCAAAATAAGTGATTTCAATAATGAAATAAATCATATCGTTGTTCATGTTGAATTTCATAAGTTGTTGAATATAAACATCATATTTGATCTCTAGGTTTAATGTTAAGAGTAAAGGTAGACAATTTCTTTGTAATTAACTTCAACTGGACGACCAAACTTTCTTCATCTTTAAATCAAAAATTATCAGAACAAAATTTTACAAACAAATTTACTTACTGCTGTTTTTTAAACCTTAGTACAAACAGTTTTGCCTTTGCAAAAATAAAAAGCAAAATACAACAAAACAATTTGATTAAATTTTTTGTCTATCAGAAGAATCCCTTCTAAAAAAAATCTTCATTTACTCGTAAGTATAGCCCAGTCCTTTCAAGTTCAACTTATATTTTTATGTTTATAATAAATAGTTCATTTTTTATTCATATTTATAAAATAATTTATAACTTACCTGGTAATGCTGGGACTCTCTAGAACCCTGAATTCGGTCATATAATTCTTACTGAGCTGCTCCCAAAGTAGAACTATGGATCTGAGAGCTGGTGGTAAAACTGACACCATTTCTGGTAAACTTGACAACTTATTTGGAGCAGACGTGCCTGCCACTTCCTCTTTAATGACCTGCAAATGGTAAAAGATCTTAAGAAAATGTAATAATAATGTAAAATGTTACAAAAACAAAATAATAGAATTATAGCATATCTATAGTATGCATCAATTTACAATATGCATTTTGCTTCACAATTAATGATGACCGTTAGATTCTATTTCCTACCATTTTTTATAACGCATAAACTATTAATAAACTAGTTGTGCATGGCATTGTGTCTTAAGCCAAATTGCTGGAACTTCCCGTACCGTAATGAAATTTTCGAGAAATTTTAAACGTTTTCAAATATATTATTACAAATATTGTGACTTTCATTATTTTTGCTATCTTGTAATATCTGAGCAAATCAAATGTAAATCATAAATCATAAATTAATTTATCTGCAGAATATTAACAATCGTCATTTCATTTCGAATTCAATTTAAAAAAAAAAATAGTTGCCTTAATTTACACAAAATTGAAAAAGTGCTCCCGTACAGTCACAGTCTAAACGCACTTGCAAATAATTCTGTGCGACATTTTCACTGATACTGTGCTTAGCTTGGCGGCATTTTCACATTTTTAATAGTTTTTTTTCACAAAATTGAAAAAGTGTGCTTTAAACGCACTTGGGTAAACATTTGTACCAAAGTGGCGCTTAGACTGTGCTTAGCCTGGGTAATTTTTTGAATTTTTAACCCAAAAAACTTTTATAATTTATAGAATTAAAATTAATATTAGAATCTTTTCCGATATTCAAAAAAATAGATATTAAATAAAAAATTAAAATAACTAGTGGTATATGGCATCGTGTCTTGAGACAAATTGCTGGAACTTCCCGTACCAAATTCAAATTTTGATAATCCGAATTATTTTCGATATTCAACAATTTTTTTTCCAAAACTAAAAAAAATTCTTTTTCCAAAAATAACTGTTTCGTCAATACAAGCAGAAAGTTTTATGGATCACTCAAATCGGATGTATCGTTCTCTCAAAAACTGCCATTTTTTGCACATTTAGTTCCGTATCTTCGAAACGGCAGGACCAGCTGTTTCCAAATACAAATCACCACTTCTTCCCGTCAATGTTTATTGAATCATTCAAATCGGATGCTCCGTTCACTCAAAAAGTCGATTTCTATTTTCCGCACTCTTTGCTCCGTATCTCCGCAATGGCAGGACCTGCCTTTGCCGAAAACTAATCAGAACATATCCCTATCAATGGGAGTCGAATGTTTTTTGAACCATTCAAATCAGTTGTTATGTGCGCCCGAAGACTTGGACAAAAAATTGTGTCCATACATACACACACACAGAAACCTTCAAAACGCGAAAAAAATGCAAAAAATTTCAATTTCGATTTTTGGATGATTACAATCACTTACCCTACGGAAACCGATTACAAAATAACATTTCAAGAAAAAGTTTTCAATCCCACTTACCTCTCCATTATTCTGACCAGAAGCATTAGCCTGCTGCGAATTACTATTCTTCCTCGAACCCCTATTGCTCCTATTTGCAGCTGCATTGGCGGCGCTCCTCGTCAACGCATCTAAAGCACCAGGCTGAATCTGACTGAGTCCATAATAACCCGCTCCTGCTCCTGCTCCGCCGCCGATGGTCACCTCCGCAGCGCTGTGGCGCTGCCGAGCGCGTTCCTCCTTCGTCAGCTGTCTTGCCTGAGCCGAATTCGGTGTTGCCTGATTCGGCGAAGGATAACCGGGCGTCTGATTGGCGAACTGAAGCGGCCGGATTGGCACCAGAGCGCCCTCTTTGGGAAGCAAGGGATGGAATTTGAGGAAAGAGGCGCAGGCCATGGCGTCGTGGACGATACCTGGGATAGAAGATTGATTTAGTGTAATGATGGTGTATGGCATCGTGCCTTAAGGCAAATTAATAAGAGTTAAATATTCGAGGAAAAAAATCAGTAAACAATAATAAATTGATCAATGATTTACAACAATTGTTTTAAACATTTTCAAATAACATTGCTAAAAATGTCGATGATTTATCAGAACGTGGTTCAAATAAAAAAGATAAAAAAAAGAACAGTGAATGTGTTTTTGCGGAATCCTGCTTTAACACTGCAGCAAAGACGAGCAAAATTAATGCCAAAATGTTTAGAAATATCTACAAAAATATCTACAAAACTATCTGAACCTTTCTTCGTATTCATTATCTGAAATGGCGCAACACAATGGGGAAACCCCTGACAACTGGAAAACGTGCGCTACTTTTGCGCTTGGGCACATGAAAATATTGATAGAGATTTTTAAAATGTCATTTTTACTGATGAATGTTCTATATGAGCACGTACTGTCCTCATCGAGCCGTTAAATTAAAATACGAGCCGTCAGACTAGAATAATCCGTTAAATTAGTAAAAAGCAAGCGTCGGAGATGCCAGCCAATTGTCGACTCCGGTGATGACTGGACACATATTGACCAAATTGCATCATTGCTTGTAATGTACACAATACATATATAAATATTAAAGTTTCATAAAATAATTATTTTTATAAATTAACACGGACACGCTCTTACTTGACCGACTGTAGATAATTATAATCACTATATATTTTATCGTTCATGAAATACTCGTATACAGTGACGATCTTTTATCGCTCAAAGCACTTGAGAATGATTCATTAACAAGAGGTGCCGAATAAATCCATCTGTGGATATATTTCTTACAATTAGAATAACACATTTGAAATATACACATTTCCAAACTCTATTGA